AGAAAAATAAATTATAATTACAACCACATGAGAATAATTATTAATATTACCAGAACTTTAAATCCTGCTAAAGCTGTCATGTCTTTAGTGATGGAAAATGCAAATGTGGACTTGACTGGAGATACTGGTAATCTTATGAATCAAAGAAAGCAAGAAATTAATTATAAACAAAACATAAAAAATAATTACAATCAAATAATAATAAGTAATTAATTATTGATAATTACCTACGAGAAGGTTGATTCGGATCATCTTTTTTGGTAAAGGTGATCCAAGATCGTTGCATAACTTTATTAGCTGGCCAATCCAAAGCACCATCCTTCTGAGCTTCTTTCAAAACCGGATTTTTAAGAAAGTAATCGATCGCATCCCATTGGGTAATAATGGCAGCATGTTGAACATCACTTGCCATAATTTCTTTATTGTTTGACGTCGAAGCTAAAATAGCATAAACATTTTCGTGTGTGCCCATCGCTTCTAATCCATCGATAAGTGGTTCGGATTTGTGATAAATTTTAAAATTATTTGCTAAATTCATTTCATCAATCAAGTCACTGATTGGTTTTTCGTAAACATTTGTAATTTTTTGTTTTACTTCCTTGCTCATATAATCATGAGCAGATTCCTTAGCATCCATTCTACTAAAAACCTCTTTCAACATTAAATATCTGTTGATGTTGACCACATTAACGATACTAACAAATTTATTTTGGTAATTATCAAATACTGGTATCGAGATTATATTATGAATTCGTAAAAGATTTAGAACAAAGGAGATTTTATTATCCGAATGTGCGTAAACTAATGGCTCAAGTGGTTTATTACTGATTTCTTGTAGAAATGAATCAATATGTAGTTTGCGAAGACTTTCTAAAAATTTAGACGAATTCAAAAGATGTGATGGATCCACCGGTTGTTGATGTTCAGTTGGCATTTTTTTTTTTTAAAGAAAAAAATTATTCCTTGAGAAAAAGAATATTTTTTTATTTTATAATATGTGAGAATATTAGCGTAGAACCCTCTAGATTTTTTTTCTTACGTATATTATATCATGACAAACCATAAAAATGCTAAAAAAGGCAAATGTAATGGTATACTACTCAGACTTTTAATTAAATATATTATCATTATTTAAGTTAGGTTCCCAGTAATAAACATAATTAAATGTAAGACATTTCAATCGAATGACATTATTAAACATATCAACTAAATGTTGATTGAACTCATTCATGTAAAATATTGATGATTGTTCTAAATTTTGACAATTTCGAGCAATTAATTGCAACAGTTCTTCTAAATGACGTTTGTCAATCGGAGCATCCTCGACATTTAGAACCTTTAGATTTCTTCCATTGATTTCAAGGAAATTCGACAAACTATATAAAAATGGCTGATTATAAATGATTAAATTTAGGGTTGTAAATATTTGAAAAGAAACAATGTTGCAAATTGCTTGTTGATGATGAAATTCTACTAACATCATTATTGAACATTGACAATGACTGTATTCACAATTGGGTTGGATTGGATTACCCTTAAATCTTGTTCACAAATTTATTGAGATTAGGATACATTTTTGTTGGATTATAACGAGGATTTGCAATTTGATTGATTAAATTTATTTATGGTTCTTTTAAAAAAAAAAAAAAAAAAATAATAAAATATGGACATTACTGGCCTTGTAAATAGCAACGCGGCAAATTCAAAACTTTTAAATATAAATGAAAGTAAAGCCACTTGCAGTTTTGGCTTTGTTATGTGCTTATTTATTTGTTCGTGTAGCATGAATTTGAAATTTTCGAACGTTGGTATTAAAAATCCAATTTAACGTACCCGTGACTTTCTCACAATAGGTTATTGAATTTGAATGAATTGCAACTGCCCTTTTGAATTCCACTGACAAAGTTAGACATTTGTTCACATGAATGGCTGGTTTCTTGATTTGATCTTGTTCTTTGAGTCAGATTACGATCAATTTCGTCCTCGATTGAAGAATTAATATCAACTTTAATTTTTAAAACTTGAATATTTCTACATGACCTTGCCAACCTATCGAAAAATTCAAACCCATTAAGAAAATAACAATCTAATTCACGAATATTTTGAATGAAACTATGAAATCCATCATAATCAAGCATCCAGCTATAATCTAAACAGGTAGTTCCAAGTACCTTGACATTTGAATAATTTTCACCAATATTTTATCAAATTTAAACTTGGTGATTTGACCAAGATCCAATTCAGTAGCAAATCTGACATAGTTTCAGAATGACGGATTCTCAAATGCCTTAAAGTTTATGCAGTAACGATTTTTTTTTAAAGAATTCTTTATCTTCCAACATTAAACAATTAATTAATTAAAATTTTTTACTTCTGCAAAGTAAAATGGTAGATTTCTCCATAAAATTGGAATAAAGTTCCATTGTTTGTTTTTTTAAAATGAGGGAAACCATGTAAACAAACTTATCTATATACAAAAATTACCAAATTTAATAGTTGCACGATTTCTTCGCGTAACATCAAGTTCAATAAAGTGACACATCACTGCGTATCTTCTTTTTTTATGAGAATTACATTTATGTTGAAATGGAACAAATCATAAAATTGTGTAATAATATATTAGGCTTTTTAATTGGCTAATTTCAAATTCACACACTAACATAAATTCACATTACAACAGGGTCATGCCAATCAAAATCAATAAATTTTTTTTCATATTATAATCTTCAACTTTTCATTAATTTTAAAATGATTCCTGCAATGCTTACCAAAAAAAACCTTAGTAAACACACTAAAAGTTTACAGAATAATAGAAAACGCGAGTTTCTTGAAAAATATCTTGAAGACCAATTGGAAGCTATTAGAACCGCTTCAATTGATGAAGGTACTCATCAGCATAATAATAACGACGATTTGAAAATGAATTTAATATGATAATTAATATAATTATAAATGTACATTTAATAGCTGGCTCTTCAGCAAGCTCTTGCACTGATGGTCTGACAAAAATAGAGGTTCCGCGAAAAGTACGAATCATTATTCTTTACGCGTTTATGTGTGTGTGTGTGTGTGTGTGTGTGTGTGTAATTAATTCCAGTTGTATATTTTTTTAGAAAAAGCAGTTGAAAAGAGAACCTTATCTTTTCCAAAAAAGCAAGGCTTCTGTTGAAGTTCAAGTGAAAGGAGGTGATGATCATTACCATTGCTATTATTATTACTATTAATACTTTGATAAGCTCCGTATTCATTTATTATTAATTATTTCTTTTTTGTATAGTGCGAGATCTTATATTCTCTGAAGTTGACTTTTTAAAATCACTTCCAGGAAATAAACATAATAAATACAATAAACACAAGAAAAGAAATATTAAAGATCGCAAGACCATTAGCATCTCATCATCGCCATCAACAACTAATTCTCACCAAAAACAACAACACCAACAACGTTTAAAAATGGTTTCTGTAATTCACAACACAAAAAAACTTAAACGTTTTTTTGAAGAAACCAAAACCAAAAACGACATCACGAATAACACTATTGATGATGAAAAAGCTCCACCAAAAAAATTAAGAAAATTAAAATCTGATAAAATTTTGAATAATAATGATGATGATGATAATGCTTCTTATTCTAATTCTAATACTATAGATGGTGTTGGCGTTGGTGTTGATAAAAAAAATTACAATAAAAAGTCAAAACACACCACTAACAAAAAAGCTTTTGCTGGAATATCTACTAGTAAAAAGGGCCTCAGAACACCTAGATTCAGTAAACATTTTAAACAATCACATTCTGAATATTCTGAACACTTGGAAGAGGGAGAAAAGAAAGATGTGAAAGATATGGAGAAGTTGGAAATTTCTGCTTTATATGAGTCAGCGTTTAGTGAAAATAAAAAATCAGCAACAACCTCACAAAGATCCTGTTATGAAATAATTGTTGTTAACGATTCAGCGTCAATTTCTTCTTCGTCATCAAGGCTTACTGTTGACACTGCGTATACATACTTGCCCAAGATATAAAATTTATTTTTTTCAATAGGAAAATAGGGATTAACCACTGTAGATCATGGTAAAATGTTGCGTATATTCTACCCTTAAATAGCAATAGTATTATTATTATTTATTTGACGCCATGAACTATTTATAGAGTTGAACCATTAAGGTTTAAATCAACAGTGTATGGTGTTGACTTTTATATCAGCATTAAAATTAAGATCGATGAAGATGTTATGGACAAGTTACTTTTGTATGAAGAAATTGTTGTAATAGTTGAAGTGGCGAAGATGATAAATATTGTTTGCATTATGCTTTAGATACGAATTGATAATAACGGATGCCGTTGATGAATTTGATCTTAACTCGCAACAATTCTAATGCTTTTTTAAAATCTAATCTAATATTGCTCAAATTTTATTAATTCACACGCGAGAACTAAAGTCATATTTTTTTATTTTAATGTGATACTATATAGCCACGTATTTAAAATCGTGATAACAAATAAAAATAATACAATAATAATATATAGAAATAATTTTTCATTTTAATTCAAACCAACGCAATCCAATCAACCTTCCTGAACACCGATAAACATCGCAAGCATATCGCTCATGCTAACAACACCTATAGGTTTTTTTGACTCTTTCTCAACTACCCAAACATGATGAACTCCATTATCAATTGAAACTCTCATGATTTCTTGTAAGTTTGTATCTTCATGACAAAAAATAATGTTTTTCGGGTGCGTACGAATCTTTCCAAGAAATGCTGTAATTGGTAACAAGCACTCAGCGATATTGTCGACGTTTAGGTAGCGAATATCCGAAGATGATAAATTATCGACTAATTCAACGATTCTTTCACCGGCCTCGTCATCACCACCATCTACAATTGCGACTGAACTTAAGTTATGAATTGCCTTCATAAAAATAAACATTGAAAG